GGGGGGGACAATGGACATGCTTATTATGTTAGGAGTGCACTGCAAGCGATACGGAGAAATGAGTCCGTTCTCGACCGCCGCAGTTACAAGACCCATCTTTTTTGCAACGCCAGCCGTCAAGACAAACTTAGAACACAGCAAAAGTTGTCAAAGGAAGAAGATTTACGGGACACGGTGTTAGCGTGACCACTTCCTCATGTGGTTCGGTTGCCATGACAGCTTGTTGTTGTCTTGTGATGCGTTCAGATTTTGGACAAAGTTTGATGGCGCTTATCTGTGTCATCAATCAAAATGTTCCCGTTTCGGTCAATAGTAGTTCCGACGCCATATAGCTTCACCCTCGGATGTTCTGGTAAAGAAAACCGTGCTGCGTGTTTGGGGTGGGGTGGATGGGGGGGGGGGGCAATGTAGTTCCGGTCAGCATCTGTTATGTCGGAATTTCATTCACAACACGGAAGAAACAAAAAGCCGGTCTGGCACCCAAACGGCGAAATGGAAACTGCCACAAAAGAACTACCGTCACTTTTTCGGACGAACAATCAGACTCCATGCGCGCCTCAAACTCGTTCCTGAAACCGTTCAACGGAGAGAACCAGGAAATCATCGTTCAAATAAAGGGAGGGGTCTAAAAAAAAAAAAAAGCGACACGGAAGGAAGGCCTGCTTCTCTTGTTCAAATGTCATCACCAAATCGATCGGCGTCGGACGCGGTGATATTTATAATGACCTCATTCCATCGTAGTGCCGCCAATTTTTCGTTCTCATTGGATCCCCTCACCTCCCCCGGACCCCCCCCCCCCACTCCCCTTCACTCCTACCCACTCCCTCTCCAAGTGAAAGGAGGTCATTTGCTTGGCAGATGGGGAGAAATTTTAATCCCGCCTCATTCCACGCCAGAGGCTGTAGGGCAAATGGTATTGATGCCAAACAAAGAGGAAAGCACGCAAGCATCACACATAAAGCTCTCGGTACGATACTCGAACACACGTGACATCACAAGACGACGTTTCGCCGTTTCCATGATTTGTTGACCAATCCATCAAGAACCCTGTTCAGCTCCGCCGATAACCGAAAACACCTCCTTACGGGTTTTACTATTCACCGTGTTGAACCAGGCATAAAAAGTGATCGCTTTTTAAGCTTCTCGCTATTCGTTTCCCGCACAACCGAGCTTGCACGTTTCGATGACATCTCCAGCGAGTGCATCGGCACCTCGGTGGAGCCACACCTTTGTGTGACCACAATTTAAGTATGACCACACAGAGCCGCCTTGTCCAAACAACGGCGCATTGATGCGCGTTTTTTTTTGCATACCCGCCCTTCAAAATATGCGCCGATGTGACTTTGAAATGCAGAACAGTCTCTGCTCAATATGCACGAAACCATCTTTTGACGCACTCTACGTATCGCGAAATGTATAATGTGGTGTCCCCCGAGTTCATTTGTGTCTACAAAAAAAAAAAAATCGAATAATGGAACACACTGTGTGTAGTTAGCGCGTGCTTGGAAACAATCTATATGGTTCACACCGAGTGCCGGGGAAGTGTGTAAACACTGTGGCCTGTTGACACTAAAATACAGCTTTTTGCAGACGACCCAACCCTGCGTTGAGCTGTTTGCTCGCTTGTGAAATATTAGCTTTGAATCGACTGGAGATATGACCTCAGAGGACATGCACTGTCCTGTGTGTGTGTGTGTGTGTGTGTGTGTGTGTGTGTGTGTGTGTGTGTGTGTGTGTGTGTGTGTGTGTGTGTGTGTGTGTGAAAGAGACTTTTGGCAGGACTTGAGGTAATAAGTGGACAAGCAAAGTGTGTTTGTGTTGGTAGTAACTGTTAAATGCGACATGGCCGCGCCCGCTTAAGGTCAATTGAATTTTTTTTAGGTACCGTATTTTCCGCACTATAAGGCGCTACGGATTCTACGGCGCACCTTCAATGAACGGCCTATTTTAAAGCTGTTTTCGAATATAGGGCGCACCGCATGATAAAGCGCATAGAATAGAAGCTGCAATAGTGGCTGCAGTTGCGTTATGCATCCACTAGATGGTGCTACGGTAAAGGGAATGCAATGTAATACAATACAATACAGCATTATTTATATAGAGGCGTCACAAGCGCTGCAGCCGGAACAAAGCGCTTTACAGAACATTTAAAACACTACGTCCAAGAAATCCGAATCGTGATCCATATATAAGGCGCGTCGGATTATAAGGCTTTTGAGAAAATAGAATGTTCTTCGGTGCGTCTTATAGTGCGGAAAATACGGGATGTGAAAAGCCACACTAGTGTTCAGAAGTCCCTTTCAAAAAAATTGCACCCTCTTTATGAATTTTTTTTTTCCCAAGTTTCTGGTCCCAAAATGTAAAATCCCAAATTGGGATTTCAGCCACTTGCTTTTTAGAACGTACGTGACAATCCAGATGTTGTCCTGAAAATGTCAAGATTTGTTTTGAAGCGTTTTCATGCTCCGGTTGACTGTGACGAAATTCCAAAACAAAGCAATATTTGAAGTATGATTTCTGGTGGGTGCGGCAAGGGCCGCCCTTGAAAAAAACCAACAAAAAACAAAAACAATAAAAAAAAAAAATCCATCCTTTTGTGACCAGTTTTCGAATGTTAATGTTTTCAATTATTTGCTTTTGGACCCTTAAAACACGCAAAACGACGCAATTTCAAACCAGCGGCTTCCGCAAAATTGGCTTTCCGCGACAGTCACGTTGAATACCCTTCCAGCGGAATCTGAAAACCGACTTTTTACATATTTGTAATACTTTTTGCCGCTCAAAACCCTTTTGAACACATTGAAAACTTCTACAAGTGACCCGCACTGTCGCTATCTTTTGATCCCGAAGAGCCAGCTGTAAATGTGAATGGGTCTTTTGGAAACCTGACTCTCAAACTCAATCAGTCAGCAGCCAAACGGCCGGGCGCCGCCGAGGTAGACGTCCAGTAATGCCGACTTTTTGTGGAAAAGGAAACCCCAGCCTCGGGGGAGCCCCGCAGGCGGCCGGTCGGGCCTGGATGGCCGCCCAGGCCGTGTTGAGAGCACGGAGAAGAGCGAGTGCAGACAACCCCCCCTCGCCCCCCCCTCCAACAATTCCCCACAGCAGGTGTGTGTTGACAGAGCAAACACACGCTCGCTCGTCACAGTTACGTCCGCCGCAAGTGCGCTCGTGACTCTCGCGGCTCCCCCCGCTGAGCCGCGCCGCACATGCGACTCAGCAGCCGTCCATGTCGGGCGGCGTGTTCCCGTGGCGAGGTCAACAGGAGCACGCCGGCTCCGACCGACAAGAAAATGTCTTTTCTTTTCAGCCGTGACACATGAGATGAGGCTGTTGAAAGGGAACAGAAAGTTTCAGGAAGGTATCCGGAGGAAGACACATCTTTGGCTACAAACGTTGCTGTGATTCAGATTCGAACAAGGGAAAAAAAATAATGTAAAGCAGCACAACATTGCGTCTACCCTTTTTTTTCCTTTTTTTTATGTACAACTTGGCGAAATTGGACTCCCTTGGGCCCTAGTTCAACTCTTTCAGGTACAGCGGTCACTACAGTGGACAGCTTACCGTGTTATCAGGTTACAGGTTAGCATTATTTGTGCATGAAAGGGTTAAAATGACTTAAACTCTGCTCACTATTTGCTATTAAAAAAAAAAAATTAAAAACAAAGGCAGCCGAACGATCAGCATCTATTTGGCGGTGCCATAACACTTGAAGCCACGGCTCTTTTGAACACAAACGGTGCAGCAACATGTAGACAGACAACATATAACAGTACCCGCGCGCATATATTCTTTGGACGTGTGGGTATTTTGGTTTAGTTTCAATGGTAGGTACACAAAAATGCCAAACTGTGTGTGTGTGTGTGTGTGTGTGTGTGTGTGTGTGTGTGTGTGTACAGCTGGCACGCATGCACCTCACGTTTGGTCTCCCAACTGTGTGTTTGTGTGTGTGTGTGTGTGTGTGTGTGTGTGTGTGTGTGTGTACACAGCTGGCATGCATGCACCTCACGTTTGGTCTCCCAACTGATAACAGCGGCGTGAGCGCGGTATCGGCTGGATGATACGGTGTTGGCGTTGTGTTTATCAGTGTTTAAGTACACTCTCTCTCTCACACACACACACACACACACACACACACACACACACACGTAGGTACGACGAAATCCAAGTTTCGCAACATTGCGCCACCTGCCCCGGCCGGCTATTGCGCTCTAAAAACTTTACAAAGTGTCACTTTACAAGCGTTATCTCTTGTTTATGTGTGTTTACGCAGAGACGCGGGGCCATCTCGTACGACAGCTCGGACCAGACGGCGCTGTACATTCGCATGCTAGGTAAGTGGTTCCTCGACGCGACGCACTTCAAGGTGTGGCCCACTCCCAAACTTCCGATGGGCTGGACCGCGTCCATTTTGTACCAGTTTCGAAACGTGAGGCTGGAGAGGTGGCAGGCACGCCCTTCCAATGAAATTCAAATCAGCATTTATCTCTTCATCTTGGTGTGTTGACATTGGGAAGCCGGTTTGAAATGGGATTAAAATGGTTGACGAGTCTGTCATAAGAAGACAAAAATCTGCTCTGGCCTCCTTGCATTAAGACTTGCTTGTGCTCATGATCTGATTTGGGAGTATTTCCATCGATGTTTATGAAAGGGGCATCAAAATCATGGCCTTGGTGGAGGTCGTGGCGTTATGTCTTGGGAACAAGTGAGACCACGGGTGTCAAAGTCAAGGCCCGGGGGTCAGATCTGGCCCGCCGCCTCATTTTATGTGGCCCGCCAAAGCAAATCAAGCATGTCTAGTTCCATGATGCTTGCTAAAGTCTGGACCAAAATTTCAAATTGTCATATGTAATCCACAATAGCAGTCATTCTTCTTGACTTCTGATTTGAAAATTAGTTATTCATCAATTGGTTGTGCGCGGCGTATGCAATATGTGGAGGGGGGTTAAACATTTAGATGGTTTCCCAAAATACATAAGGGCCATCCAAGGGAAACCGTAAATACAATGTGGCCCCGTGACAAGATGAGTTTAACACCCCTGATTTGGACTGTATAATAAGCATCCCCCCCACCACATGACATGAAATTTGGTGGGCATGCCGATCAGGATGTATTGAAAGTCTCAAGCAACAATGCTTGAAATTGAGATGGAAGTTGGCCCATTTTGCTTTGATGGCGCCATTTTCTGGACAAATTTCATGAGGAAGAGGCCCGGACCGTAATGACAAAAAATAGATCACCCCCACCAGCGATCACTAGTTTAAAAATTGCCATTTTGGTTTGAGAAAAAAAAATCCTCCCATTTCCACACAAAATTTGGCTGATGCGTTTACCGTCACAGGACGCATGAAAAAAGTCAAGCCTGAAATTGAACAGCACGTCTGCCATTTTGGTTTGAGCCAGCCATACCAGGGCTTCTACTTCGACTGGTGAATTCGCCGTGAAACTAGCGATGCAGTGAGTCAGGCGTTTATTTGCACAAAGTGGATGGCGTCATTTGGAGGAAATCCACTATCTGGTGTCCGCTGCTGAACAGAAGACACACGCACACGAGCCCGAGTGGCTTCCAGTTGTTGACGTTGCGAGTCAACAGCTGCTGCGTGTGTTTTGTTTTGAGCTGAGTTAAAGGCGCTTGAGCGTTTTTTATTATTATTATATATTTTTTTTAAACCCCCATTTTCTTTTTAATCCTTTCACTCGGCCGAGTACAACAGCGGTTTCTCCCCTTACGTCACAGGCGCAAGGCATCCGCCTTTGCGGATGAGTTCTATTCACCGCACGCTCACATAGCCCAGTGTCATCCCGCCATCGCTGAGAATGACATGACCTACATCCAACCCCCTCCCCCTCCATTAATGCACTGCAGCTGCGATTGCGGGGGGTCGACGCAGACCCCATGACTCTCACAACACCTCCTAATCACGCCGTCAAGTGCGCGCACGTGCCCGGGGCCGAGCACATGCGGACGGACTCACGCAAGCGTGTATCCGTCGCCTCGAGCCGTATGAATTGTTCTGATTGACGGCGCGCACGTGTGACGCCGCGGATTGGACACGCGTTCCTTCGCGATGACTACTTCCAAAAATATTGTCGGCTGTCAAAATCAAGTTGGGGGGGTTGCCTGCAGGGGGCGCCAATGAATCCCATCACAGTTTTGGCGTGTTTGTGGTTGAAATTTGGTGGCAGACGGACACAATTTCTCACTTTAATTCATCTTTGGCAGGAATTGACAAAATGACCCAACGATGGATGCCAGCAAAAAGAAAAAAAAAAAAAGTGACTTCCCCTAACTTTTTTTGTGGGTCTACTCATGATGGACATGCCAAATTGCTTGTTGCGAAATGAAACTGTTGAGGTCCCAGAAGAAATGCAAATCTCTTTCAAAATTTGAACCGTAAATGGCAGTTTCAAACCAAAATGGCGGCCTTCCTGTGTCTTTTCAAGCTTGGGTTCTTGAGACTATTTTGTGTGTCTTTTAACGATAGACATGCTGCCCAAATTTCATGTTCTTTCATGTGTTTGGGGGGGCTGCGTTTTCAGGAAAAAAAAAACTGAGGCTGCACTTTGGAGTCCCGTGATTCTTATCAACCTTTGTAACGTTGACCCTAAAATGTCCGCCTCAACCCAAAATGGAAGACTGAATGCATGTTTTCAAGCGGGGGATTATTTTGTGGGTCTATTTGAGTCCATTTTGTGGGTCTGATTATGATATCACAATGAGACCAAATGGATTTTTGTTCAGTTGTGTACTGTCGAGAGGGACCGGGTTCAATTCCAGCTCCGGCCTCCCTGTGTGGAGTTTGCATGTTCTCCCCGGGCCTGCGTGGGTTTTCTCCGGGTACTCCGGTTTCCTCCCACATTCCAAAAACATTCATGGGAGGCTGATTGAACACTCCAAATTGTCCCTAGGTGAGAGTGTGAGCGCAGAGGGTTGTTCGTCTCTGCGTGCCCTGCGATTGGCTGGCGACCAGTTCAGAGTGTACCCCACATACTACCCAAAAACATCGCCCACATGCAATGATGAAAACGTGAATGTTTGGTGATCTTGTGTACGTGGTTCAAATTCACTAGCCATCGGATCAGATCTCTGGCGAGGTTGTTTTTGAAGGACCTTTGGAAACGGCCGCTGCAAACATTGTGCCGTTGTGACGTTACTATGGGTTTTTGAGACTTTTCGACATTTTTTTTTTTTTTTGCAGGGGGAAATGTGTGTGAGTGTGCTGTGTGCGTGCGTGTGTGTTTGTGTACGCATGATGAGAATTTCAATGAAATGAGAAGTGCCACGCTGGAAACACACACTGCAGTGTTTTACACCCCCCCCCTTTTTTTTTTTTTTTAAATGATTCAGCACTTGTGGCTGCTGCTGTTGTGGTGAAGCTCAGCTGCCCTGTTTTCTGATTTCGTGATACGAAAGTTGGGCTGAGGATCACCGTCACAGGTTCTGTGTTGTGATGACATTGCATGCCCAGCTCCTTGTCCGTCCTCTTCCGTGTGCGTGTGTATGTGTGTTGTGTGGTTTGCACATGCAGAACATTTTTCAACACAACGATACACAAGCCTCAAAGCGCCACAATGGCGGCTTGTCGCCGCAAAACGAGTCCCGATCCGCTTTCCAGCGCCGACTGGCTTTAAAACAGCGTTTATTTCTTAATTTTTAAAAATGAGCGAGCGGTCTTTCTGAAAGGCTGTTGACGGCCCCCAAAAAGTGGGGCTGAAAAGGATTCATCGGATAACTTGGACAATTTGGATGAAAAAAAATTACACACAAAACAAACACAGGCCATATCTTCGCCAGGAATCACGATTCACCGCAAAAAAAGCAAAGATTTGAACATCCCGAACGTTTTTTTTTCGACACTGACTCAATCCACGCCTTACCCCAATTACACTAAATAATTTAAATAACCTTCTCTCTCTCTCTCTCTCTCACTTCCACACATTTGTGCTGCAATTGCATGAGCCTTGGGGAAATAAGTGCAAATTTCTTCCAGGAGATGTGAGAGTAAGAAGTCAGGTTGGATTTGAACCGGAACGCCGAAGCTCCCATCCGTATCTGTGCATCGACTTCCGAAACCTTCACAGTGAGTACGATGTGGCCTCCGTCGCGAACGCCGCCGCCCCGCCACTCCACCACTTCACACACTACCTCACATAAACCCAAAGTTATGGTGTGTGTGTGTGTGTCCCCACTTACACTTTGTCAATGACATCACAACACAGACGCATTGTGTGTATGTGTGTATGCACTCCTCACGCTGCTGTGTTTCCAGCTTGCAGTCGCAGTTTATTCAGTCATGCTGCTTTTGTGTATGTGCGTGTGTGTGCGTGTGCGCGCGTGTGTGTACGGGCGAGAGAGCGAGAGCACTGACAAAGCAGGTCTGCAGTGCAAGGCCAGACAAAAAGGCTTACTGGTGGGTGGCTTCGTCAGCACCGAGCCGAGTGCGGAAGTCATGTGACGAGCTTGCGCTCCCAAAAAAAAAAAAAAAAAGGCTAATAGTTGTCATGAATTATTGTTAACTGTCACTCGTGTGTACGTGTGTGTGTTTTTCCCGTGTGCGCGTGTTGTATATGCAGCGCGTCTGGGCGGCGAGTCGGAAGCAACGGTGGGCTCGACCCCTGAGAGAAGGGTGCGCCGGCTGCTCAGCCTCCAGAGGTACCTGCATTCGTCCCGCCTGCTGCGGGGCACCGCCCACCAGATCCCGCTCCCCATCCTCGACGAGGACTACACTGGACAGGCCCGCGTAAGATCGAGTGACCCGGAGAACAAACGCGACTTGAACAAAGTTATGGGGAGGGCTGAGACGATTCGGTTAGTTAATTCCCCCCCGAAAAAGTCAATGCCGAATCTGGCTCGAAGCAACTCCAAGTTGGTGACAATATTTGCACCTTGCTTGCACGTTATGTTGTCTGATCATTTTAATCGATGCAGCGTAATCTTGATCTGAGGTAGACATGTCCCTGTCGCATTTTTTATTTTTACATCTGATTACATTACATCTGATACAGAGTCTCGCTCCAATAATTTGGTGTGGCATTACTAAAGGGGGGAAAAAAGAGCACATTCAAATTGTACATAAATTGTCTTCTCTTCATTTGTTTTATTTATTTATTTATTTTTGGTCATTCAAATAAAGGTATCCGAACGTAACTTTTTACAAGGTTGTAATTCAGCAATGGTTCAAATCAAGTGTATTAGTTTTTGTGTGCATTTGGGAAGCAGATTTACTTATCGGGCAGAATTTGCCACATTAAAGATGGCAGATGCAGAGGCGTGTTACAGCAGCAAGGCCCACTGGCTCAGTGAGGCATCGACGGCTACACGTCGAAGGAAATGACCACTCCGTAATATTCACACGAGATATTCTTGTTTTGCAGTGCATGCTGGAGAAAGTGGGCAACTGGAATTTTGACATTTTCCTCTTCGACAGGTTGACGAACGGTACGTACGAACGTCACAGGCATCATTTATGTTAAAATGGCGCCATCTTCAGGTTGCCCGATGCATTACGATGGCAGTATAAAATGAAATGAGCCACCAAAGTTGTGTAAGTCTCTCGTTTGAGCACATGTGACAGGTTAGCGAGCTAGTGGCTATCTTAAAACCAAATATGGTTGTTTATGTCTTAACTCGGCCTTCTTTCGGCTCAAACACCCTGTCAGCCGTAGAAGTCTTCGGCTGTGAAAAGATTTCAAAATTTTAGCTAGCGGCTAGCGTGAGATGCTAACATAGCACTCTATTCAGGGCTAATTTTTGTGAACTGTATATTTAGAGATGGATGGACTCAAAGCCACAGTGCTGGCGTCAAAGATTCAAATTCATGTCCTTGGTTCATGCGGGCTTATGGCAGGTGACAAGTTAGCTAGCTTAGGTTCTCAAAATGTGATCGAATAAAACAATCATGGAACATTTTAGCGTTTTGTACAATTGAAAAAAAATTCTGAATGGTGTGACCTTTTTTGCAGAGTCATGACTTTATTCTTGTAACCTTCAAACGCTTCTCAAAATTACATTCTTTTTGTGATCATTTTGACTTCTTTTGAAGTGATATTTTTTCTTGTTGTGTCACAACTTTCTTCTTGTCATGTTATGGCTATTTAACGAGTTTATCCTTCTCATGTTAGGATTACACTGAAACACAAGACATGAACTCGTTGAGCCATGTCGTAGTCTTGCAAACTAAAACAGCAGCACCGACCGAAGCATTTCTTGATTTCCATCACGCTCTCCGCCCTCGTAGGAAACAGCCTGATCACGCTGACGTTCCACCTGCTGGACCAGTACGGCCTGGTGGAGCTGTTCCGCCTGGACGTGGTTCGGCTGTGGCGCTTCCTGGTCCTGGTCCAGGAGGACTATCACGCCCACAACCCTTACCACAACGCCGTGCACGCTGCCGACGTCACGCAGGCCATGTACTGCTACCTGCGGGAGCCCGCGGTGAGGCACTCGACACACGATGACATTTTTCACCGCTGTGTCGCGCCATATATTGTAGCACTGTTGCAAATTTTTACTGCCTGATCGCTATACAGTTGTGGGATTTTTTTATTTTTATTTTTTCAGTCTTGACGTGTGCGTATGTGTGTGTTGAGCGCAGTTATCCAAGTCTCTGACGTCGTACGACATCTTGCTGGGCCTGCTGGCCGCCGCCACTCACGACCTGGACCACCCTGGAGTCAACCAGCCTTTCCTCATCAAGACTGACCACTATCTGGCTTCACTCTACAAGGTGACACGGCCCCACGGATTCTCTTTGTAGCTACCCTCAAATGACCTCAAGAGGGCGTCATGAACATATTAACGTTGAATCGCCAGTTATTTTTTTCTCGTGATAAGTTTTTTTCTTTTCCCACTTCCTGTCATGAAAAATAAATCTCAGACAGGCAGCTTTCCATTTGAAATGTTACATTTCAAAATTTGGACTTGTTCTAATTGAACGCTTTGTTGTCCACAGAATACCTCAGTTCTGGAGAATCACCACTGGAAGTCTGCCGTGGGTCTGCTCAGAGAGACTGGGCTCCTCTCCCACCTGCCTGCCGAAGACAGGTCCGCTCACATCGCCGTATGATGATGAGGATGATGTAATCTCTCGCTGGACTTGGATTGACGCCCGTGTCGCGTGTGCATCCTCCTCAGCTTGAGCCTGGAGAGGGATCTGGGCTCGTTGATCCTGGCCACGGACATCAGCAGACAGAATGACTACCTGTCCAGGTTCCGTCTGCACTTGGACCAGAGCAACCTGTGCTTGAGCAACGCCAGCCACCGACACTTTGTGCTACAGGTGCTACTTCTTTCTCCTTACCACAATCAAGTCAATTTTCTTGCGTTAGGAGCTGTTTTTCAATTTTTTTGCGCTATTTGTTCTTGCAGTGTTCTGACTTAAATCTCGTGTAAATGTGATTTTTTTTTTTTTAACATTGATTTTTGAAATTTATTTTAAGACTTTTTTTTCTCCTAATGTCCTGAATTCCTGAATTCGCTTTTTTTTTTTTTTTTTAATTTATTTTTTATTATGTTCCTTCGTTTCGTAATGTTTCTCACAAACGTCAAGACAATATTTGGACTTGATTTTCACAAATTCCTGCTTTTTCTCCTCACACTCATTCTCCTCAAAACGATGATTCTCTTTGTTTTGCGGTTGTTCCGTGGCAGATGGCTCTGAAGTGCGCCGACATCTGTAACCCGTGCAGGCCGTGGGAGCTGAGCAAGCAGTGGAGTGACAAAGTCACCGAGGAGTTCTTCCAACAAGGTCGACGCCGTTTCAAAGATGACGCGAACGCCTTCCCAAGCCTCCTTTTTTTTTTTGTTGCATCTTCAGCATTTTCCTGATGTATAAATATTCTTTGTGCAGGTGACGTTGAGAAGAAGCACAAACTGGAAGTCAGCCCACTTTGTGACAGAGCCACGAACACAGTGGGCAACATTCAAATCGGTGAGGGACACTTCATTAGGGACACCTTCACCGCCCGTCACCCTTCTACTGCTAGCGATTTACATTTTTAGTTATGTATTAATTTTTCACATTCCATGAGCCTGATTGCTTGCTTCAGTCAATTTTTTTTTTTTTTTCGGGAGAACAAGAAAAAGCACAACCAATTTACCAAACACAAAGTCCACTTGCCTTGATTAAACTTTTGGGGATTTAATTACCATGACCTGGATGACCAAGAAGAAGAAACAATTTTTATCAAGCATGTTAGTATTTTATTTATTTATTTTTTGGATATTGTGACAGCAAGCTAAAAAATGACTTTGCTAATCATGCCATTCTGCTGACAATTGTACGATAGTTAAGAATGTTAGGTTCAAGTCGCGCTTATCACCTTTGTGGGATCAGGACCTTCATTCTCGTAGGTTGGCACACGGTTTTCTCTTTATTTTCATTTTGCATCTATTACAACCTTTTCCACAGATTTGGTCTCGTTTTGACGGTTGTAAAATGACAGCCTTGTGCCGTATCTTCATTTTTAAAAATATATATATTTATACTGCAGATATTTGTTTATGGATGAATATATTCACTCATGGTAAAATATGTGTGTGTGTATGGATATGTATTTTTTTTTTTTTTAAAGTGGTTGTGCCTTTTTTCAGGGTTCATGACGTACGTGGCGGAGCCCCTGTTCACCGAGTGGTCTCGCTTCTCGGACACGCGTCTGTCCCAGACCATGCTGGGACACATGGGCCTCAACAAGGCCAGCTGGGGCAGCAGAGAACAAAGCCCGAGCCCAGATCCGCCGCCAACACCACCACTAGCGCAAGCCTCTCCAAAGACAAACCTCAGGGAAGGGGAGTATTCTGACACCTCTTGACACACATACATACACGCGAACGCGAACACGCAGACACACTGGGGGGAGCGCCTTGATCCCGTTAAGTTTGATGATTATTTTTTTTCCTTTTTCTTCCTCCTCCGCTAAACCACTGATTTTATTTAATTTATTTAATTTGAATTGTTTTTGGACGTAGAGCAATACGTAGATACCTCATTTGGCGCCTGCTGTAATTTCCCTTCCTTTTTTTTTCCTTTTTTTTTTTGTTTTTTTAATTTATTTGTCACTCCTGAAGACATTTAAAGTGCCATTTGATGCCGAGTATTCACACAAGACGCGTATACAGTATATGTATGCGTGCGTGGGTCACTTTTGTATTGATTCTTCCTCCAAAAGTGACAAGCCCAGTCGTTTGCTGCCTCTCGACCAACCCAGACTGTTTACTACTACTTCTTCTTCTTTTTCTTCTTCTCCACACCACACGCACACTCTCACTCCTGGAAGCACAAACCAGCTGAAGCCACATGCATGCGCACATTGTTTGGGGGGGGCCACAAAGCAGTTAAAGCCATACTAAAAAAAACACACACTCACACATAGACCCACTCTCATACACACTACTGTCCCTCACGACCACTTTTTGGAAACACAAAGCAGTTCAAGCCATATGCACAGGGCCGACCTTGCCCATCAGGCGAGATAGGCAGATGCTTCGGGGGGCGGGGGGCACCACAAAAAAAAAAAAAAAAAAAATCACCTTCAATATGAATTATATTCAGACGAATAACCGCTATCGACTTAATTTCGAAGGGAAGAAGAGTACATTGATATGAAAATACCATCAAATAAGCGACGAGGCGCGTACGACGGTGGTTGGACTTTAAATGTAGTATGAAAACAAAATTTGTCCCTGATGAACAAAATTTTAAATCATCAATTTTTTTTTTTATTTTAGGAAAAATATTTCAATGAAATGGCCAAAACAACATGAAAATACATTCAGGTTAAAAGCTAATAAGTCGGCGTCTATTATAGAAGTCAAAAAATGGGCGTATCGCTTCTGTTATCGCTTCTACATATTTACAATTTTCTTCTGCTGTTTTTTGGAGGTTTTTCCTCTCAATCCAAAATCAAATTCAAACGCCAATGCAATCTCATTGCCAGTAACCAATGTAAGGAATGCAAATTTGGATGAACTTCTCAACCACTGAATGTTAAAATCAGCGAATAAAATTGGGCGAATGCACCGCTTTTGAAAGTAGGAAAGTTGCGCATGTTTTACACGAGCCTTCGAGAAACAAACAGGAGGGAAAATGGGAGAAAGGTCAAGCTGCTGCTTCCTTGGGGTTTATTCAATTCGGTATCGCAATAGCAAGTTACTCACACGACTCGTCTGACAGTTGCAAAACGCTCATGAAATTGCCGTTTTTATTTTACATCATAAACTGCGTGATATTCTCTTACAGTATGAAATGAAGGCAATGTTGAAAAAATCAACTTATCCCGTCAGCGCATAACCACACGTTTAGCTCGAGCCGGCCCTACACGCACACACACTCAGTACTTGGAAATATAAAGCAGTGGAACGAACACACACACACACACACACACACACACACACGTTTGTTTGGAAGCGCAAAGCGACAAACACAAACGATCACTCACCCCGTTTTTTTTTTTTTTTTGCAAGCACAAAGCAGCCGAAGCCATACACGTCACACACATCCATTGAAACTCTTCCGCTCTGAGGCTCTCAGGGTTTTAGTCATTAGAAGAAAACGGAGGACGAGGAACCTCTGTCTTAAAGGGCCACGCTCGCACGCAAGCTGTACAGACAAGACAAGATGCCTTACGACTATGCACAAGCGACAAGCTAAGTGACCAAACTCGCCATGACGTTAACGATAAAAGATGACCGCCACATTCCACAGTGTGAAACCCTTCTTGTGAAAATCGCAGGTGTTTGTTCCCCACCCCCTTCGCTGTTGAAAAGTGCTGTAAGACTGTTGTTTTGTTTTGCAAACTGTTTACAATTCTGCCACGACAGCCATTTTGTTTTCTTGGGGGAAAAAGGGGAGGGGCAAGACTGGAGTGTTTTTTTTTTTTTTTTTGTAAAGGCTTTTCGCGCTCTTTTTCCACTTTTTGATACGCGCCCGTTGCTGTTTTTGAAGAATAAAAGGAAAACCTCTTGTTGACTAAAAGGCAGATAAGTTGTTTCATTTACCCTCCATGCCAGTCGCTTTTTTTTTTTTTTTTTTTATGACTTGTAAAATTACCATTCAAAAACTTCCCGACTACGACTTTTCAAAATATTATACCTTGTTTTTGTGCGATACCTTCAACTTTGTCCTTACTTTTTTTTTTTCTACTATACTCTTTAAATCACACACACACAGATCCACGCTGAATAGTTTTATTTAATAACGTGACAATTGGACAGGATTTTAACGGAACACAATTCCACTGTAGAAGATTTTGAACAAATCACTTAAAACGGTCCATATAAAACCAACAATTAATTACACAAAGCATAAATAATGTCAGTCATGACGCGTTGGTTGCATTCTGTCACAATTTAAAGTTTGAGATGACGTTTATAACATCAAATGAGGTAATGATAAAAAAAATACAAATTTTGGCAAGTTAGTGTTTGTCTTAAAGCAACAAATCATAATTTAGCATATGACCAGTTGAGAGTGACACTATATAGATGTGTAAAAACATTTTTAATAACTTAAAAAGTGCACCAAGCTATGAATACAGGGTCAGAATTCAGAGGAATATCCCTTTTGTACTTCCACAAATATTAATAAAAGTTGTCAATTCGGAACGTTGGAGGCTTCCTCTTCGTCAGTAAAGCTGCATTAGACAAACTTGAGCTTCCCGGTTGATCTCAACATGTGCTGACCAAACTGTCAAAAAAAAAAAAAAAGAAAATAAGAGGATGATGAGCATGAAAAATGACAAAATTGTGGAAAACGAAATAATCTGAGAATAATGGCACTTTTTTTTCAGAAAAAGTAGTGAGAAAGTTATAATAGGAGGAAAAAAATTGTGGAATCTTTTTAAAGCAAAATTGTAATATTACATACGGCCCGTAATTTGACCAAAAATTGTGAAGGCCAAATTTCCCCCCCCTTATTTGGACTTGGTACTAATTGTTGTGTATTGTTACCAGAGGGCTCTCCGTCGGATGTTTGACTTGGTCCACTTGGTGATTGTGTTGCGGGTAAGTGTGAGCAAACTTCCTCTTGAGAGCCTGTGCGATGAGAGCGGCGGCGTCTGTGGGCTCCGTGAGTTTGTCGCCCTTCTCCGCATTCGCCAGGCGACTGTTCACAGGGCGCGGGGGGGAGGGAATATGACAAGCATCAAGTCACAATATTGAAGCTGGAATATGCCGAGGATGAAAATCAAAATCTCCCAAGTTGTATTTCAACATTTTGAATTTATTCACGTCATATTTCAATTACAATGTTCTCATTACATTTTGACGAGAAAACTTCATCTTGACTGTCCTTACCTTTTGACGGATCTTAGCTTGACTTTGTTCATGTCCTTGAGCACATCCAGCATGCTCGGGAGTTCAGCATGCGTTTTAGTCTCCGTCTGGCCTTGTAAGGTCTTTTGCCCGCGGCGCTCCTTGATCAAATCTATGGCGGAAAAGGTGCGCTGCAGTCCTGGAGGAGGAAGAGGAGGAGGTGGCGGCGGAGGTGGTGGTGGTGGAGGAGGAGGCCCACTGCCAGAAGGAGGCGGGCAAGGGCTCATGCCAGTAGATGCATCTGAGTCAAGTGGAAACAAGATGCTCAAAATGTAGCCCTCTGCTGCCACATAGTGGACAATTTATGTCCTATGTCAAGAGGGAGCATTTTTCCTACCGGACTGGGCGCTCTTCTCCTGGGCCAGCACAATCTGGGCTATCTGGGCCCGCAGCTTGGCCAGCTCAGTCTCCAGCGCGCTGATCTTCTGGATGGCATCGTCGTTGGCGGCCGCCGGACCCTGGGGATCCGAGGGGCCCTGGTACAGGCTGGGAAGCGAGCGCCGCCGGGCCGGGCGGATTCTCCGGGGCCGAGGCAAGCGACCGCGGAACGCCAGCCCCCGGGAAGGCCTCGACCTGCTCCTAAACAGCGGCAAGGAATGTTGAGTTTCACAACTGCAAGGAGTACTAGGTGAGGTACCAGGTGAGGTGGTGTCCGCTATATGATGATTAATTTCTCACCGAGGTCTGCCTTCAACTTCCTGCTCCTCCTGCTCCTCCTCCTCCTCCTCATCTTCATCATCATCATCCTGGTCGATCCAGGAGACATCGGCGAGTGAGGCCACGCCATGCTCCTTCCTTCTGCTAACAACACCTGCATCCTCGTCGAATGGATACAGCTGCCACATTGGGTACATTCGCCATAGCATTAGCACGGTATTTGTTAGCATTCCATCTTGTTTGAAATAGTAACCAACTATAACTTAGATTAAAAAAAAAAAATCCTCAGCCATCTGTAGTATCTTGCTACATGTTAGCACACTAATTGTTAGCATGTCAAACCACTGCAGACCAGAGTAGCGCCAAAAAGGTGAAGAAAACTCTGGCAGATTTTTTTTGCCTTCAGAATCGGTGGCGGATATCAGCATTGAGATACCGATACCTGGTCATGATACTCGACCATCCCTATGGGGAATTGATGTAAAATCCTTAAAAATCTACATTGCCACTTTGTTTAGTCATGTTAGCACACTAACTGTTAGAATGTTAGCGTTTCAGAATTGAAAGAAAGAAAAACAGGATACAGCAAGAACAGTCGAGTCTCGTTGTTTTGAACAAACTAACCTAACGCAGACATACTGCATTCCGAAAGCATAGGGTGGGCCGCTGGAAAGAAGAGGGAGGGGAGAAAAAGAGAAAGAGAAAAGGCATGTTGAAAGAAATAGCAAAGAAAGACAGACATCGAAACATGCCAACATTTTTAAAAGAGCTGCTCCGTTTCACTCCTGAGCGACTGTTTATGGTTTGGAGAAGGACAGCGGTCACATAGGTCCATGTCAATAGACCTTGAGACAAGCTGTGGTGTCAACAAGTTGACGCACAGGCAGGAGTCACATGACCTTTTCATACTCCCCGGAAAAGACGCCAGAAAAATTGACAGGTTGACTCCAAACGGTCTTTTTCCACATCTCACACAAAGTTCCACCTGGTAAATTCCCATCTTTGACGATCGTATTGGCTTGTTTTACGTAGGGCTGAATAATTTTGAAAAATCCCATCTCTCACCTGAAAGTGAACCCTGGGGCAGGGTTTGAGAGGCAGGTTGCTCGCTATCCTCCTCACGATACTCCTTGTGGACCCGTAGGGCTTGGCTGATCCAAAAGTCTATTTGTCCCGAAACAAAAACAAAAAAAAAATTCTGACAATTCCGTAATGCAAAGGAGACAGAAATTCATCCATTAACTTACCAGGTCCATTTCGATGCGTTCATATTGTTTATTCATTGCTCCTGAGGCACTGAGAACGGGCTGACTGACACATGTCCAATTAGGGTAGACGTCATCACCATGAAGGAATCTAAAGGACAACCACTCTGCTATATTTATAATACAGCTTGAACCAATATTGCTTATCTCAATCATATTTATGACTATCTTTATACAATTGTAAAAATGCACTTTGTTTGCTAAGTGACGTTTTATAAAATGACAATCTTCCTTGTGTTCATGTTTGGGTTTTTTTTAGAACTTTTTCAAAGACGCACTCGCATCATGTCAAACACACGTGACGTCCATGACATTTACAAAGACAATGCACAACAAAAATGTGCTATTTATCACAAGAAAGCTATCGCGGGCCAAACTCTTTACATCTCACAATTTGAGCACAATCGCTATGTGAAATATTAATACGAAAACAATACCAACGTTAATAAAACATTTGTAGACATATGCCACCTATCATTTCAACTTGACCACATGAAAACTATAATACAAAATGTCATTTCGCCATATTTAAATGAGCTAAAGGAAATAATAAATTTAAAAGCATCATTTGTTCGAGTTTAATCGTACATCGTGCCTACCTGATGCTAAGTGGTTTAGCCATCGTGGCTAACCGGATTGAACCAACTTTGTGGGGCTGCGTAAGCAACGTCAACAGTGTAAAATTGAGGAACGCCTTAACGCAGCTGATCGTGTTTCGCAAAATATATAACATGTATAAAATGTCAAATATACGTAAAGGTACCTTACAATGTCTGACTGGAGGCTTTTCTGACAACTTCTCGAATGTTTCCACCTTGTTTAGCCGTCGGTCATGTCCCGCAAGAGAGGTGACCGATGTGGAGGTAGTCATTAAAATCTTTGAACCAATTGGATTGTGGAGATTATAATATGACACTCTGTTGCAATGCAACACCACCATTGGACAATTTTGTTGATTGTCATTGACTTCAGCCAATAAAATTAAGGTATTTAAACAATGTTATTTTGCGATTGGCGTTCGATCCACTCGTTCAATGCAGAATGTCCAATCACGCAGCGGAACTTTGGTGTGCGTTCGGTTGTAAGTTCTCGTGTGTCCTCGCGGAAACGCGTCGCGTTTCAACAGATGGGAACCATTTACACCGGTAGGTGTAAGATTTCAACGAACGTACCCACTGACGTGCCCCAATATCCAAAACAGTGTGCACAGCTGCTAGCTTAAACGAGCATAGTCGAAGAAAAGGCAGAGGGCCCAGCATTTATTCACTTCTATTATCAAAGGTTGTTTTTAAAAACTGTGACATTTTGTCCCCGGCTCGGCACATTTGCGTCTTGCGTCACCGAGCTTTAGCCGCGACATTTTGTCCCCGTCTCGGCACATTTGCGTCTTGCGTCACCGAGCTTTAGCCGTGGCTGTCTCATGGTTTCGCCGAATACTGACTGAAAGGTAAGGTTGAATTGAGTTAGGTTTAGCTTTAGCATAGCCTAGCCACCAACGACCCGTCTCGGTCTTTTTAAAAGGGCGAAATTTGAGGTGAAACTCGAGGTCGAACAAACGTCGTGAAATATTCATATGTCAATGCATTCAAAAGCTTTATTTCCTTGAGAATTGGCATTTATGTACGTCGTGACATGTTGAGCTCTGTAAATTACATTTAATGAAGCATGCTAGGTTGAAAGCTGTGACCCCAGTATTCAAAATATGAAAAATGATGCCATTCATATGTTTTTAAGTGCTCCAACATTTACTTTATTACTTTATTAGCTTTATCCATGGTAAACAATTGTTGTTATACAAGTGCTCTTATGATAAATGGGTCAACCAATTGCTGCTTTAAGCTTCTTAAATTCCCTTTAATGGTGAGTTCCTAATCTCTGTTACACCATTTTGTTACTTTACAACTCAAAAGATGTGTTCCTAATAATAGCTGTTTTTTTTCTTTCTTTCACGGTTCTCTGGGCATATACTGAATGTATATATGTAAAAAAAAAAACCTTGATAGTGAACTATGTCTCCAGCTAATACAGTAATTATTTTGAAAATTTATTTTTCAATTATTCCCTGATTCAGATTTAAAAAATATATTTTTAACACCCTTTATCAAAAACATTTCACATTTATATAGCAGACAATACGCAAACCTAAGTTGATTATGAGTCTGTTTTGCGAAAGGCAAAGATTTGCAAAATAATGTATGCCCCACCCAAACTGTTTCTAATTTCCTATGTTAATAGTTCAAACTCTCTAATTAAAGCCCAAACAATGATCCCAAAACACTTAAAAGGCCAAGTGTTGTTTGTTCAGGTCACATACATTCAAAGTCGCAGATAATATATGTAAAATGTGAGGATGTGAACCCACAAGATGGCACCAATAATTCCTGCACCTCACATACTTATTTTGTTGGCTTGAAATTTTATTTTATCTGAGTCATGAACGGGATAATTTTTAGAATCATCAATTAAAAACAAAATGAAACCTCGTTATGAGATGGCTTGGAAAAGTAGTTACATTGGCTATGCTAACTGCTTGACTAACTGGCTGTTAAACATTTCTTTTGGGGGTGGTCACAGTCAGGCGGAGGTCGGTTGGATGCGCGTGGCCGCCGGACGGGAGGCGCCATGAGTGCGGAGTTGGATGCGCTGGCGGTGGTGAACCAGCTGCGGGACCTTGCCGCAGACCCCCTCAACCGCAGGGCCATCGTAGAGGATCAGGGATGCTTACCCGGGCTCATTCTTTTCCTGGACCACCCCAACCCGCAGGTGGTCTATTCTGCACTGCTGGTAAGTCAAACGGGAAACCTCGCTACCAATTTTAATCGACTAACCGTTGCTTCATCGAATCCTGTGAAGCGTAACGTCGAACCACTATTTGCACATTTCGTGTGTGCGATATATCTTGCCACAAAATGGCTGCCTGCTGTAAGTATCTCATGTTTGTGTTTTTTTGTTCGTGTCCACAGGCCGTGCGCTACCTGGCGGAATGTCGAGCCAACAGGGAGAAGATGAAGGGCGAGCTGGGCATGATGCTGAGTTTGCAGAATGTCATGCAGAAGCAAGTGGCGCACGCACACACACACTTACACACACAGGCAAAGCTGGGCTGCCATTCTTTTTTTTGGGGTGGGGGGGACACAACATTTTACAATTGTGATTTTTTTTTTTTTAATATCAATACAAAAAATGTACAGAAATAAAAATAGATTTTTTTTTTATATATATTTTTTTTACAAGTGTATATATTAATATTTATAACAATATCGACATGAGACAAACTGCATGAAATGGAAAGGAGCCATTTCGATCCTATAAACCGTCTTTCTCGGTCCACCTTTTCAGGAGCACGTCGCCCGGTGAAACCAAACTGCTGGCCTCGGAGGTCTACGAGATCTTCCAGTCGGCTGGGAAGGAGGAAGCCGAGCAGGCAGAGGCGGCCGCCACCTCCTGCCGACGAAAGGCTCAGTTCTTCCTGGGCTCCAACAACAAGAGAGCCAAGACGGTCGTGCTGCACATCGACGGACTGGACGACTCGGTAGGTGGCCATGGGGCAGGCTCGATGGAGGCTAACACACAAAGTTTGAGAAGTGGTTTCGAGGTTCAGGAAAAAAATAACGAGATTAAATGTGCTTGTTGTTACACCCACCGTCTTAATCTTTTTTTTTTTGAAATCCAAGACAATATATAAGTGCAATTCAGTTGTGTGAATCTTTTTGAATCTTTCTCCTCTCGCTCGCTGCCCGGCGCGCAGACCCGCAGGAGCCTCTGCGAGGAGGCCTTGCTGAAGATCCGGGGAGTCATCAGTTTCACTTTCCAGATGGCCGTCAAGAGATGCGTTGTGAGGATCCGCTCCGACCTTAAAGCTGACGTAAGCAAAAGCGCCGCAGCCATTTTTCTTTTTTTTTTTTCCGAAAACTTCCAAAGGGACAGATATTTTCATGTACAGCGTTGTCATGTGATGAGGATGTGTGGATGAAATGGTTGGGAACGTTTTTTTTTTTTTTTTACTGTAGCATCACAGTATGATGTAATTTCCAGCTGTATTTTGTTGTATTTAAATGTAGGTTGTTTTTTTTTTTCTTTTTTTTTTAATTATATTTTTTGTAAAAACTGTCACGTTAGTAATTTTTTAAATTTGTAAAACAGGAATTATTGACAAATATTTAATCCAAGTTTTATTTCAATTATTTGATAAGCTTTCCCCATCTTTGTATATTTAAAGTCCACATATAAGTGTTTTATTTTATCAGCATTCCTGTTTAATACCTTTCATCTTAAATGTCCAGTATTTTATATTGAATGTCATTTGATTGATTTCAATTTTATTTGACATTTTAAATTGTAAGTGTTGGATTGAATATTTTCAACTTTATTTAAAATGTTATTATTTGTTTCTAATACGTACTTTTATATTTTTGCACTTTTTTTTTTCTTTTGTCTCGTAACTACCATAACATGTTTTTCCATTTTACTTTGGATTCATATTATTAAGGGAAACAAACCACTAAAAATATGATGTGTGACAGGCGCTGGGCACAGCCATCAACTCCACCAAAGTGATGAAAGCCCAACAGGTGTTGAGGACGGAGGACGGGGGAGAGGTGAGGACAAACGATGGCATTTCCTTTTCAACATGTCAAATATTGTGATTATAGATCTGTATGATATTATCTCGGTTTCTTCCTGTATTTTCGAGCTAAATGAAGATTAAAAATACAGTATTTGCGGTCTTCTCCAGGTCAGTACTGCGTATGGCCAAAAGGTGTCAGACTTTGCTCAGCCATGACTTGGACCGAGGTGCTCATGGGTTTTGTCTGCTTGTTTTGTCTGTTGGACAACTGTTCCGTTGATGTATTCATCTTCATTTTTTTATGATGGCACGGATGCTTCCTTTAAAAAAAAAAAAAAAAAAAAAGAAACGGTTTAAACTATTTCTGATCCAGACTGGGTTAACTGAGCCTGTGACTACAGTGGACAGCTCATCATGTTATTAGGTTACAGGGTACATGACAGGGTTAACACACACACACACACACACACACACACACACAAAAAAAAAAAAATCCCATGAACCGTTAGAACGCCCGTTTCCGTCAAACGTCATCGGATTTTGCGGAATTTTAAAAGCCAAATAACTAAGTGCATGTTTTATTTCAGATCTGACCCAGATTGGGCATTTTGTGACCAGTGTAAATCAAACCTGGAAAATCACACGCAACAAGTTTGAATGCTTCTGGTAGCTGACAGCAGGACATCTTGCTTGTTTATAGTACATCTGAATAGCCGCAAGGAAGTACCCGTTGAATCCAGATCTGATCCAGATTGTCATTTTGCATTGTAAACGTACCACTGAAAACTTCCTCAATGTGTCGGAATGTGCGTGTCTGTGTGTGTGTCGCAGCTGTTCATGCCATTCCAAGAGGACGGCGAGGGCGCCTCGGCGGTGGAGGAGAACACGGACATTCCAGACTACCTGCCCGAGGAGGAGAGTCCGTCACAGGATCCGGACAAGGCGGTGACGCGCATGGGCTCCGTCGCGGACGGAATGGGCTGGCTCAACACGGCCGCCAACTTCCTGACTCGCTCTTTCTATTGGTGACCCCGCCAACCCCCCCCCTCCTCCCTCTCCATACCACCATACGAAGTGGGCTCAGCCTGGACTTAATACACACACACACACACACACAAACACACACTCAGCGCTACAGCGTGTGTGTATATTAAGCGTACGCTAGTCGCTGTATATCCCCAAACTCCAGGACTTGAGATCAGCTGACACGAAGGACGCTTGTTCCGTTAAGTTGGGAGATGATTTTTTTTTTGGTGCATGACACACACCCTCCTCCCCCTTTCCGGGATATTTATCATACTAATACTTTCACACTTCAGTTTTTTTATTATTAGCATGCATTAGTGCCAATCCCCCCCCCCCCCCAAAGCTTTTTGGGCCCTTTTTTTTTTTTTTTTTGGGTGCCTTTATTTTTTTTTTTTGAGGGGGAAATTTCTCTGTAATTATTATTTATTCATTGTTGGAGTATCCTTAAAGAGCGCAGAACATGTGGCTTTTTTCCCGTCAGTTTTAGTCCTCCTGGGGTCCGAAAGGTAATAATAATAAGACTAATAAATAGGAGCGAACAAAGGTGTATTTTTTCGGTTGGGAGAATTTGGGCTGGTTTCAGTTGCGCAGATCAAACAATTAAAAACTACATTGAATAAAATGGCCATTTATTGTATTATCTTAATCATAATTAAAATAACTGATGTGAATTAAAATTAGAATACATTTTTTGGTGCTCATTTCATTCCCCTCATCTAAATTTCAAAGATAAAAAATATAAGATAATTTGTTAAAAAAAATGTAAATTAAATCGCGGTACTTTTTGGGGGCGACTTGTTTTAATTTGAATGTAATGTATTTTTTATTTAAGTATAAATTTATATTCAAAAAAAAAATCTAAACATAACAAGTCAATGACATTTTGTGGGCAGTTTCATAACGGTTCCTCTGATGGTGAAACACCCCAAATAAAATACATCATAAACATTTGTTGGATCGCATTAATTTCTCCCCTCAAAATGGCCCCTTATCGAAAAAGCGAGAGTATCCCGATACCACGCGTTCATATTAGTCTCGTGTACAATTTGTCAATGGTGCTTGACCCCCACCTAAATCATCTTACAACATTCTGTCCCGTTTTGTTTTGGTTTTTGCGAGTCACTCAACAACAACAACTACAAAAAAAAAAAAAAATGGGATCTGTGATGCCAAAAGTGCTTACCTCACATCCCAGGTTGACCTGTTATCTACCCGGCATCACGTCTCTCATAATTAACGTCCCGCACACAACAAACCCTGCACAGTGCAGTGCTGACTAGGCCACTTGTCTCGTCTCTTGTTAGTCGAGGTCGTAACGCTGCGGCGTGACCTTAATCCGGCGGCGGCGGCTACTTCCTGGTCAAGCTTTTTTTTTTTTTTTTTTTTTTTTTAACATTGCGTTCCTGTGATTTTCATTTTATTTTATTTTTTGGGGGGCGGGGGTCTATTAATCATGCTCACGTGTTGCTCAGTGTCCTCATATTACATCCGAACGGTAGAAATGTACAGACGTCCACCCGTGTAACATACTGTAATGCTCATTCCTGTCTAATAGACCATAAACTTCAAATTCAACGTTGTTTTTTGTGCATTTTTTTTTTTTAAGCGAATTGACTTTTTCTTCAAACGAGAGGTGTCTTAGGGTGGTTGTGGGGGAAGAGGGAATCCAGCCGCCCCAGCGTTTTGCATGGTGCTGGTGGCCAGGCAGCAGCCGAGGCCCAGCTGCAAGCCCCGGAGCGACGCGGGTGCGACGCGAGAGGAGGAGTGATGTCACTTCCTGCTACGGCACTCCATTAGGTACACACGCATGCAATCCAAGCAGTTTAAAAAAAAAAATTGTTTTTTTTTAACTCATTCAGTACCAGCGAATTCTAGACCAAGTCTGAAAAGACGTTTAAAAACGTCTTTGGGAGTGAATGAGTTAAGAATATTGAATTTGGATGTCGCTTAAATTATCTACAATGTTACAGTTATGCGGTTATGAATATATTTTGCCAGAATGTGCCCAACAAAACGCAACTGAAAGGAATATAAAATTAGGAAAATAAAAATGTATGCTTCACTGTGTCAAGTTATCATATCCCCCAAAAACCCCTCATATAATAAATCGCTCGCTTTTAAAAGCAAATGGAGCTTCCACTTGCTGAACCCGCATTTCAATCTACAATAAATTACATCATCATCAGTATTCATGCAGCCATAAGCTTGCTTTTACTGGTGAATACAGTAGGCGAGGCACTTTATTGTGCATTAAATGACGTCCCGGAGAGCTTCGTATGCTTCCACACAATGATATTATATATGATATTAAGTACTCTTTGAGAAGCTAGTCCACGTCGGACTCCTCGCCGCCATCTCCGCCCGAAAGCCAATCAACGGCGTCCTATCTCTGCGCCGCCTGTGTCTATTTGCATGTGCACGCCGGCGAGCGAGATGGCGGGCCGAGCCGCCGCCATCGGCCGTAAATCCCGGCGGCGGCGGCCGGGGTGGCGGGAAATGATGTGACTCTGGCAATTTATGTCAAATAACTTTTTGAGGACGCGGTGAGCGCGGCAGGTGCGATAATTCTTCTCCCTTCCCTGGGAGGTTTAATTGAGACATTTCTCTTGATCTGTGTTGTTGAGATGTAATGTCGCTCGTTATCGCGCCTGAGCGAAGGTCACGCTGACTGTTTGAGCGGCCCGTGGAGTATATTACCGCCAGCGAAAGGCGCAACGTAGTCGGCTAGACACGAGTCTCCTGACCCTGACGGGAGCGTCATAAATCATCTCTACGCATTGAAATGAATGGAAATGCCATTAATCCGTTCCAGACTCGCGCCCAAAAATGTTTTTTTTTTTAACAACTGATATTTGAGCAACACATTTAGTCAATGTAACGGTACTCACAGTCACATTCTCTTGATCCTCTGCGAGGAGCTCAGAACACTTTTATGTGCATTACCCATTGTGCGTTATCATTAAACTAGCTAGGCTGAAGGCTAAGCGACAAAGCCATGGATTTTTAAAAACTTCTTTTTATTGATTTTTTGGGGGGGTGTTCCTGAGACTTTTTCGTGCATCCTTTTTATGACTGACATTTCCACACAATTTCACATCACTCGGTGAAACTGGTTATAGGGGCAAATTTTTTCCATCTTTACAATATCGAATCCTCCAAATGATAGTCTGGCTGGAACGTTTGTCAACATAATGTCATATTGTCTTCAATACAGGGCGGGGATGTTTTTTTTTTGGTCTCCTCACTTGAATTCATCTGATGTGGACTCAGCAGGTGCTGCTGTTTTGGTTAGCAACCGGGCTCCAAATGAGCTCTGTGATCAACATTTTTTTATGTACGTGTGTTGCAGCAGCTGTTGCATGCATGTGAGTGTTGATGAGATTGACACGTACAAAGTTCATAATTGTGGTCGTCGCATTATTGTCCCCACCGCCTTCGATGATTTGGAAGGAAGGCAGGTTGGCTTGAGTTGGGGTGGCGCTACGCCCTCTGTGACACCACCACATCCGCCCGGCGACAAACGCTCCTGGCGCGCTCGATTGGTGGGATGAATTATGGCTGTTGAGAATTAAAAGGTCCCCCGGTGTCAAAATAATTCATGATATTATGCATATCGAGTCCGGATATGTGGATTAGGAAGATAATAAAGGCGGCGGCGTTGGCGTATCGACTGCGAGGGTGGCGGGTTTGGCGGTGGGTTCAAGGTCCAACAAGTGCGTGCGCGGATAGGCCCGTCAGTCAGCTTTCATGTGTGCCGCTTCATGTCTCACACACACACACACACACACACACACACACACGCACACAACCAGAGATTTGAGCATAATTGTCCCAAAACTGCTCATCAGCGGATCTGCCTGCCGCCATTAAGGGCCCGGCAATATGGTGTGACATTCGCATTCGCCTTTGTGACAGGTTATTAGAGCGCCGTAATTAAGCCGACTACCCTGGTGTACAAGAAGAGAGTGAATTGTTAAAAACACACACACACACTCCCACGCATTTAAATGATACATGAAAGTTGTGGATTTTTTTTTTTCCACTCAGGTGAGAGTGGAAGGATTTGGATTTTTCATATGTGAGACTTCAGCTCGCTGAGGAATTGAAGGATTAGCTTGGCAAGTGTTTTGCGATTTCTCTGGCTCAGGTTAACAGCGCTGACAAAAAAATGTGAATGTGAATTAAAAAAAAATTTTTTTTTACCTTCTTGCTTGGGCCCGACACCGATCGATCAGCCAATATAAGCGCTTTTAAAATCGGCAAAAATCTGCCCTTTTTATTCGGATTTTTGCCCATATTTCATTTTTTTACTCATCGTAGCATGAGACAAAGATGATGACATTAAACTCCCCAAAAATTGGCTGACCAAGTCTTGTAAAACAGTCAAATGCTCTGCAATGCTCAAATTCACATCTGTTGTAAGCAATAAAGGAACAAAAAAAAAGGTGTATTTTTAATGTGTTTGTATTTTTTTCCCCCATCAAATTAGCCCCACAAAATTTTCAAACCTGCCTCCAAAAATCAATTCGTTTTTTCCCCCCTCCTTTTGAGTAATTTCCCACAGAATTTTAGTTTCAATATACAATGGTAATGTTTTTTGTTTTTTTTTAACGGTTGTATGACAAATGTTCAAATGTTACTTGTGACACGTTGCGTGTTGAGAAAATAAACGTATAAATGCTCCTCCTGGAATTGTGCTAGTCTGCATTGTCCAAATGTTGTCGTCGTTCAGTGTGCGACTGTGTGAAAATCCGAGTTTGGGGGGGTGGATTAGTAAAGGTGCGATTTAAAATTTGCGCTGGCTATTACACAACTTAAGACAACAAGTGGACGTTGTTATGAGCAATGAAGGCCCATCTGCTCTGCCCCCACTTGCGTCCACATGGCGTGTGAATATGATAATACCTGAAGAAATGGAATCACAGAAGCCCCGCCTCCTTCTGTAAATCCCGTTTGTGTGGATTCAAAGCAAACGTCTCCTCTTTAGCAGGGCTCCAGGAACGTGTCGAAACGTGTTTTTAATTGACCGGATCCAAAGGCCACCTTCCGAACAGCAAAAATGTTCATGTTAAATCGTAGAGCAGCGGGGGTCTGTGTCGTGTTTGCCTTTGTGGCACGTTCGCTGAACAGAAGGTTCCCCCCCCCACCCTCCCCTCCTTCATAACGGTGGCAGATGGCTGCAGATGAATCCCTCATAATCATGTCAGGACGGCTCGTCCGATCCCGATTCATCTCTTTAAACACATTTCATGCGTGCACAAAGATGGAGACGGCCGTGCCGCGCCACAAAAAAAAAAAAAAAGTACACAAAAAGATTGTCCTTGCAAACAAGCGTTCCCGCTCCTGAACGCCACTTAATCATCGGGACTCCTGTTCTCGCGCCGCGCAACCGCTATTGGCCACCGTTGCAACCAGGATCGTCAATAGACGATGCATCCTCGGTCACTGTTTGCGATCGGCACGAATCCCGACATCACACGAGCGCCGCAAATTGCCTTTGCCGTAACCGCGATAACCGCACCCGCGTTTCCTATTCGCCGCAATCGCTCCGTCACATTCAACTTTCCGGATACCGTTGTTTCTACATTTGTTCGGGTCCGCCATCGTTGGACCGTAGCTGTCTTTGCCGCATCCGGTACGGTGACGGTTGCGGCGAACGTCGACGTATCGGTGGTAGTGCGCCGGAAACGGTGACCCCGGAAGCACAATTTGAAGTTCTATTCTAGAAAAAGAATCCAATTTTAAACTAGGGGTTCGACCACATGCAAGGAAGCCCCCCCCACCCCCCCAGCATCTGTCCCCCTCTTCCTTTCCATACCGTTACGATACTATTGAATGCAGACATGCCGCCCTTATAAAGTATAAATCTTTTTAACAAGCTTTCATTGAGTCCTGCAAGGGCGCTGACAATTTGCCATAAAATGAATTGTCACATCTATATCTATTTTTTTTTCTTTTCCCCTTTCCATTTTTGTGCGCCCCTTACCCTTGCACCTCCACACGTCAGCCATGATAATTGTGGATCAGGTGACGCCGTTCTCACCTCATTTCAGGGGCCACGCTCGACTAAGGCCATTCTCTCCACTCAAAAGGCCACATCATTGCACAACCCCCCCCCCCCCCCTTCTC